CTGCTTGACTGTAGGTGTTTTGTCTTGCACTTATGTTGCCTTTCTGCACTTGTACGTTATTCCTCTGTGGCTGCTGAGGAGGAACTGGTTTCTTGTTGCGTTTTTCTTTTAATTTTTGCATTTCTTTTGCAACCATGCATCCTCTGTAGTTGGCTGGATGCCCTTCACTACAATGAACACATTTCGGTTTTTCATTCTTTGGTTTTTCACACTCCATTGTTAGGTGCTTACCAGTACATCTGACGCAACGTGGCTCCATGGCATAGTATTTTTGTGTATGTCCATAAGCTTGGCATTTTTTGCACTGTGGTACAAGCCTGGACTTTATTAATGGAGTGATTTCAACTCTGACCCCTAATATGTCAGTTATTCCGTAAATTTTATCAATACTCTCGTCATGCCTGAATGAAAGCATGAACATGTTTAGAGGTTGTTTTGTTTTATATTTTAATTTATGAGTAACTTCGATTAGTTTGTAGCCGCGTTTTCTAACTTCATGCAGTATTTTTTCTGGATCAATGGAATGATACAGTTTTTTGGCCATAACTTTAATTGGCCTATTCTGCTTATTCTCATAGGAATGCCAAGAGTATCCTTTTTCAGTTAGCGTTGCCGTAAGCATTTTATAGTTGGTCTCATCCTGTACATTAATTTTAATATTTTTAGCATGAATTACTTTAATCTAGGCACCAGGAAGTTGGGTCACAATAGCATGGAGTTCATTAAAATTTATAATATTGTCCACTATGATAGGCGGCGGTGCTTGAATTTTTTTAGGCTTTTCTACATTCGGCCTATTGGTTTGTTGTTGTGGTGGTGTAAGCAAAGTATCCATTTTCCTTTTTTTCCAATTTTTTGTACGAATCCATTCTGTCTCCCTTGCTAACTCCTCTTCATCGGTATGATATTCACCTGCCCCTCTTTCTTCGGCGTTGCTAGGCAGTTTCTTTTCTATATTTGAATATTTTGTGTTCAATTCTTCATACATTTTATGTATTTTATCCAACTGGGATTGTAGTTGTTCCA